TAGAAATCTATTTAAGTCAACGAAATGCATTAGAATTTATAATCTTTTAGACTCTATCAAAATCTTAAATATATTTAAAAGAAATTTAGTGCCTGTCTGTCTACCATTATTGTAATGAAAATGGTGTAATGAATAGTATTTTTTTGGAGAATGTGTGGTTAAAATTGAAAGAAACTTTATCGATTTTTGTGTAGAATATTTTATTATTTGAATGTGTGGTGGAGGTTAATTACTGCAAAAAATAATGTTTTGAAAAATGGTAGACAAACATGGACTTATATTGCCTGAAATCTTTTCGATAAGAACTTTTTTGTGTCAGTCGGCACCAAACTAAATGTAGGATAATGTCACTCAAGTAAACCTTCAATTGGCACTTCGAGCACGTGATGCTGAGGGAGTAATGAATCTGCAAGCATGAAAGCACAAGATGACCATGACTTCAAAAAAAAACAAAAAAAAAAAAACTTTACTAGTAAGCATGAAAATAAATATTTGCCTATTCAACATCAAACTAGATTGAAGTAGAGAATGTGACTACAAAAAGGAGTGAAAATGTGATAAAATGAAACGAGATTGTAGCCGAAAATGAACTTCAAAAATAATAGTAAAAAATCGCAACATTAACTAGATTGCCTTATCTTCAAACTCGTGTAATGAACACCCAACTCTAATATGACAACATAAAACAAGATTGTAGGTAAATATGACTTTTTGTTAACTCTTAGAAAAACATCCATCCCGAGCCCTCATGTTTATTGTCAGGAAGAAATCAATTATTCATTTATTTATATGGAATTAATTTTTTTTATTTTTTTCGCAGCTGGACTTAACTACATGGTTTTCTTCTCTGAACTGACATAGGTTAACATTTTCATAGACACGCATCAAGTTGTCATTCAAGTGGACAATAGTGTTTGGTATAAACCTGAGATGAGTATTTGTATACAGCCAAATCAATTACGCCATTTGATGGGGACCAAACAGGAATGTAATCTATGTACGAGAAATACTTTCCAAGACAAATTTTAAAAAGAAATGTAATGATACAAATCTTGACCCTACCCACCCAGTTCGGTCCTATCTCCAATTGACAGTTGGTATGCATGTCATACGAATCGAACTTTACATGATTCATGTTGGGACTTGAACCTATATGGTATAAATAATATTATGTAATGTCACTAGTGTTACAACATTACTTTATGTGACATTAAATCATAATTTTGATTAAACATGATATTATTAGATCTATTTAATTGAAGATATCATGTACTATTGTACCTCCATTTGACAACCATTAAAATAAATTTTTTTGAAAAATAACTTTTATGATAGTAATTTTTTTTAAAATGTGTAATAAAAAAATTGAATTTTTTAAAGCTTACCTATAGAACATTTTATCGTAAAAATGTGTGGTTAAAATTGAAATGGTTGAAAGACTGAGTTTTCTTGTCAAACAAGGGTTATCATTAGTCATTACTCATTTTGTATATAGAATTTTTATTTTGAACATAGAAAATGGATATCCAATACCACCCGCCAAAATTACAAACCCTCAGAATCAACTCCCGCCATAGCTAAAACCTTTAGTTTATACATTATTTACTCGTATTTCTCGTATCAATCTGTAATTCTTTGAGAAATTTTCTACACCGCCAATGAAGATCCGAACGATAAAGCTCCAAGAAGCACATAAAAGCGAAAATGAAGAGAGCTCCTTTTCTTCA